CACTCTGGCTCTTTTCTGCGCCCCCAAACTCAGTGGTGGGGACGAGTAGGGCGAGTCGAACCCAGAGCACAGACACCTCAGGAGCCACTCCACCCGTCCGGAAACAGGCTAGGTCATGGAAGGAGGGGTGGGCGGGGATCGCGGCGGCGGCGGCGAGGGTCCAGCCAGCCGACGGGCAGGTGAGCCACACGGAGTGGGAGGGGAGCAGCGAGGGCTCTGGAGTTCCAACTCCGGGGCTCCCAGGGTCCGGGTACCTCCTTTCCCAGCTGCGTCCAGTCGCCTGCGCTCCGGCTGCTCCCAGAGAAGTTGGAAAACAAGGCGGGGAGGGGGGGCGGGGAGAGCAGGGGGCCGCTATAAATAGAGGGAGCTCGCGGGAGGGGGGAGAGGGTGGCCAACGGGAACTCCCGGGTCAAGGCCCCAAGGAGGGGGGCTGAGGAGGGACCGAGGACCCCCAGGGCCCGGACTCCCGGGTAAACAGGCGTGGGGGCGGGGTTAACTCTCAGAGGGGAGGGGCGGGGGCTTGGGGAGGACGCTGTGTCCCGGGCTAGGACCCAAGAGACCCCGTGTCTTCGCCGCTAACCCCTCCTAGTCCAGCCGGGAGAAGGAGGGTGAGATTGGCTCGGCCTGGCCCAATCGCAATGCCCAGAAGGCGATGATTTCTCGGGGCGGCGGCAGCACCCTCTGGGCCCGGGTGGGTGTGCCACCGTAGACTCCTTCCTTGCCCTCCACTAAGTACACCTATATTCCACCCGCCCCCCCCAAACAAGATGCACTCTCCCTGTCCCTCTAAGAGGAAGGTGCCCTGGAATGGAGTAGTTATGTTGCTAAGAGGACTCAAGTTGTCCTGGCAAAAGGAAATCAGGATGAATTTCTCCCCACTTGCACCCCCTTCCAGCTCTCCCCTTAGGGTCCCCACCCCATCTTCCTTCAGCCTGGTTCCTGGGTTGCCATTTCGGGGTCTGGGCACCAGGCCAGTTGGAAACAATGGCCAATGGAACAGGAGCTGCCAACTGCAACACCAGCGGAGACTGCCCCCAGCCCAAGACCCCCAAAGTTTCCTCCCCCTTCTGCCTGGGAACTACCACAGTCACCACCCACAACCCCCCTGCCATCCAAGGAATATCAATGCCCCTTTCATCCCCACTTGGCAGGGGCTGTTGGAAAGAAGGAGGGGCCAAGTGGGAGGAGGTGAGCAGAAACACTGGTGAGAATCAAGCTCAACTTTCAACACCCCCAAATCTAAAGGACCCTCTCTAAGTCCCTCAGTTGGAGCACCCAGATTTTCCCCTCTCGGCTCACCCACTCCTTTCATAATATTTCCCTGGAAATGGGCACAGAAGCTGGACACCCTGGCACCTCACCTAGCCGTCTCCCCCCTCTGAATGCCATTTTGCAGTCTCCTGGAGGAGGAAAGCCTGCTGGAGTTAAGATCATAGTTAAAGACAGGAGAGAGGTCTCACCAGCCCTACTGGAGGAGGCTGAGGGGGCTTTGGAGTGACAAGTTTTGCCTGAAGCCTCCTCTGATGTATCTGAAGTCCTCTTACTTGGAATGGGGGAGGGAAGGACCTGAAGGTTCCAGCATCTAAATTCGTCTCTGGGTCAGGATGACTCAGGGGAACCTGATAAGGGGCCTCCTCTGGGCAGGGGCTCTGGGCAGGCAGGAGGTGGGAAATTTCCACTGGGATCCTTTTGCTTCCTAGGCCTAAGGGTCTCAGTTTGTTGCAGGCAGAAATGGGGCTGCTTCTACCTTACCATAGGATTCCTCCCTGGAGGGACCAGCCCTCCCCCAGCCCTGGCAAAAGTCACCCAACAAAGATAATCCTTAGTTCTCTTGGCCCAGAAGCAGCTTCAAACTATACCTTCAACTCAATGACAGTTTTAATTACCTGCACTGTGCAAGCCACGGTATAATGTGAAGTCTGTTAAGACCCCCCCTCTAGAAGCTTATGGTCAAATAGTTGAGAAAACAGATAAAAATAGAAAAATTTTCCTTAGAAAATTTTTATGACTGTTTAAACAGTGAGTATTCTATCAATAGTTTCCTCACCCTTCTCAAATCCAGAACTGGAGGCTTCCGCTCCCACATGATGGTTTTAGTATCCTATGATGAAGACAAACCACAAATTCAGCAATATTTTTAAATACATTTTTTACAGTGTTCTGACAATTATATCACCTAAGTATATAGGAACACCTACATGTGCAAAGCATGTTATTTATTCAGTGATCAACCTGAGTGTGAATGGATTCCTGGGATCCTTGCAATAATTCAGAATCCCTCACCCCAAGAAGTTACAGCCCACAGGCTAGGAGCCATTATCTTTGTATAATTCAGAGTAGGAAAGAGGTTTTGTTCCTAGTGTGAACTACTCCACTGAGTGGGAGGGAAGTGCATTCTACCATGCAGAGAACAAGCAGGGAGTAAAGTTTTAGGGGCAGAAATACCCAAATTGCTTTGAAGAATTGAATAGTAGTTAATATCATGTACAAGGTACTCCTTACTTATCATCTCCCAATACTGTAAGTATTATTGTCCTCATATACAGATGAGGAATTTGAAGGTCAGCAATGTTCAATGACAAGGCCATCTGCCCATGAATGACATATTTCGTATTCAAAATCCCACCCAGGTCCCTTCCCATCCAACTCTGTGCTCTTTCTACTACCAGCTAGTCTCTGGCTCCAATAGTGATGAGGCTATTATGGCCCCAGGTGAAGAATAATGTTGATGTTTGATAAGGTAAATTGGGGTCAAGTGTGCAGGTCCTTGAATGACAGACAAAAAGGTTTAGCACTAAAGATTCTAGAGTGTTCTTGAGCAGGAGTAGAGTGTATAAAAGATAGTTTGGGGCCCTCCCTGGTGGTGCAGCGGCTTTAAGCACAGAATTAAGAAGCTAAAGCCACTTCAGCATGAGTTTACCAGAGGTGACCCACATGGCGAGGCAGACGTCTCCTGGCCCGCCCGCTGCTCCCCTTGGCAGTGTACTCAGTCGGCCTGCTACTCTGTCTCTGGTGAATCCTCACCACCCCTACACCTCAGGCTTGTACTCCAGTTCTGTATGCATAAATAAATAAATCTTAAAAAAAAAAAAAGATAGTTTGGGGGCCTCCCTGGTGGTACAGAGGTTAAAGACACAGCCCAATCAAGCTTTCCCCAACCACTGCATCATGAGTTCAATCCCCAGCAAGGGAGCTGAATCACATGGTGTAGCAGACCTCTCTGTCCCACTATCTGCTCCCTTCAGTGTATTTCAGTGGATCTCCCTGTTCTGCCTCTGGCGCATCCTCTCACCTCCACGCCTCTGGCCTGCACCCCATTTCTTGTATGCACAAATAAATGAAAATAAATATTTTTTAAGAGAGAAAGAGAAAGAAAAGGCCAAAGGGAAGCCCCTGAGGAATATCCTTGCACAGAAATGTATCTGGAAGCGTTTCAGAGTCTGAAACGCTCCCTGACTCTGACCTCTTTCACCCTGTCGCACCCAAATCTGCCATACTTCCAGGTCCATGCTCTTCCCTTGTTGGATCCAACTTTGGGAATCCTTTAAAGTTCCCATTGAGGCCCTCCCTAGTGGCACAACGGGTTAAAGCTCAGCTCTACGATACCGTCCGCAGCCACAGCAGCACCAGCACAAGTTCTATCCCAAGCCACGGAGCTGACCCATATGGCACGGCAGACCTCCCCGACCCTCCGGCTGCTCCCCTCAGCAGTGTACTTCGTCAGTCGGCCTGTTCTGTTCCCTGCTCTGTCTCTGGTGAATCCTCTCACCCCTCACACCTCTGGCCTATAGATTTTGTATGTATAAATAAATAAATATTCTTTAAAAATAAAGTTTCCACTGAGGTTGGTCTGCCAAAGCCATTGGACTCTCCATGTTGGTCACTAGCCCCAGACCTAGAGACCAGAAAGAAAGGGGGCATTGGACTGATGTTGACCCATTTCATTGGTCCCCTTCCTGGGCTCCCTCAGCTTCTGTTGTGGAGCAGAGCAGAAAGCAGTTTAACAGGAACCAAAAGGACTGGGTCAGGCTGGGCTGGAATTGTTACACGGTAGCCCAGAGTGGACTTGGGCTGCCTGTCCATGGGGCCTCAAAATGTAATTTTCTGCAGGCTCACACAGAAAGGGCAATGGGTTTATTTACAAAAAGGGGAAAGGAAAAGGAAACAACCCAGGGAAAGAGAGAGGAATACAAAGTAGCTGGAATACTTTACCAGAGGCTAACTTGGAACTCCTAACCCCAGTCACACAGTCTCAGAGCAGAGAGGACCGTTACCTCTCCAGAGTGTCAGTTGGAAAACCGCTCTCTATCCCCCAAAGTCTCAGAATTCCTGCTAGCTCCGCCCTTGGGGCCTCACAATTCTCTCCCAGGTACTGCTGGGAGTTGTAGTTTCCAGTCACTCGAGTAGGGGATAGTGTCCAGAAAGCTGGAGTAGGGGGTGGAGTCCATAAGACTCTGCAGAGTTCTTTTAGGACATCCTTCCCCTTAACAGAATGATGGGGTAAATTGGATCATCTGGAGGACCAGAAGATTGGTCCCCTGTGCCACACAGCAGGCAAGGGAGGGAGATCAAAAGGCCCCTCTCCACAAGACTGGTGCATAGCAACTGCTGGAGTGATGTCACATAAACACTGCTGAGATCATAGAAACTTCCCTTTCAACCCCTTTCTCCCAGCCAGCCGACTCCCACTTACCAGCGCACACATACAAAGGTGGAGAAGGGTCAGGCACCATCTGGGCGCATTTAGGTACACAAAAGTGGTGGTGGGGTGGTTATTTGGTATGAAGAATCCACATTAGTCTCTCTGGGCTGGTGGGGGGAGCGGGTGGGTGGAGTGAGAAGAAGGAGGGGAGAGAACAACAGGGAGGAGAGGGCCTGCTCCCATTGCTCATTCTAGCTTGATCTTCACCCTCTTCCTTCTTACTCCTTAGTCCTCCCTTCCTCTCCTCCATCACCCCCAAGTCTCCCCCCCTACCACCCCCCTCCACCTCCTGTTGACCATGGCATCAGAAGCAGCGAAGACATTCCAGCGATTTGCTGCTTTCGGAGACACCTCAAGCAGTGGAAATGAAATAAACAATAAGAACTTCTCCAAGTTGTGCAAAGACTGTGGCATCATGGATGGCAAGATGGTCACCTCCACTGATGTGGACATTGTATTCAGCAAAGTCAAGTGAGGAACCAAAGATAGGAGGAAGGGCAGTGAGAAAACAGGGTGGTAGGACTTGGACGTGCTCATGTGGGCGACATCTGCAGTGAGGCTCCTGGGCCCTGGCGCCATCTGCTCACCTGTCCCCAGGACGCACAGTGTCAAGAGGCCAGGTCTGGGGAAGGGGCGGGCTGGATGTTGGAAGGTGGAGTTCACGCTCCAGTGTCCTGGATTTCAATTTCACACACAGGGCCAAGAATGCCCGGACCATCACGTTTCAGCAGTTCCAGGAGGCGATGAAGGAACTGGGCCAGAAGAGGTTTAAGGGGAAGAACCCAGACGAAGCCCTGGAGGACATTTACAAGCTCATGGAGGGCAAGGACCCAGCTACCACTGGTGTCACTGTGAGTGACTTCTTCATTCCTAAACCCCTGCTGCTGGTTCCTTCACCCTCCAACATCCCTGACCCCTTCCTCCTAAGGCGATAGGAGATAGGACAGAAAGTGTCTGGTGCACAATTGTTTGGGAACAGATTTTAGCAATCGTCTAGTCACTTCAGAGGTGAGGAAACTGTGGCCTAGACTCCAGACGAGGAAACTAAGGGGAAGTGCCTTGCCAAAGGTCCAAAAGTATCTTAATAGTGAAATTTAGCTCATTCTAAGTCTCCAGTCTCTGAGACAGGCAACTAGGGCCTGATGGCCTTTGAAGTCATCCTTCCCCACCCCTCCCTTGATTTAATATAATCTTGAAGCTCCAACTTCCTGCCTCTCACCCACCCTTTGGTCCCTCCCTACCCCAACTGCTAAAATATAGATTTCAAATAGAGCCTTCCCAGCAGGAGGGACCTGCTGTGTGGTCCAGTGTTGAAGTCATCTGGCTACAACCTAGTCAGACAAACCCCTCTAGAGGCAGGAAAACCCACATGCACCCCACTCATTCCCATACACCAGACTGCTGCTCAAATCCTGAGTGGGCAGCTCTTGCCACAGTTCCTGCCCACAGTTACATCTGGGCCCTAAGAAAGAGTCATGCCAAGAGTAGAACAGGAGTTCTGAGCATTAGCCAGACTCAAAGGCCATCTTTGAGGGGGGTGGGGGGACATCCAGGGACAGGAGGTGCTCATCCAGGGTTCTCTGGCTCACAGAAAGCCACCACAGTGGGCGGGGTGAGCCGGCTGACGGACACCAGCAAGTACACCGGCACCCACAAGGAGCGCTTTGACCAGAGTGGCAAGGGCAAAGGCCTCGCTGGAAGGGAGGAGGTGACTGACACCTCAGGCTACGTGAGTGGTTACAAGGGTGCTGGCACCTATGATAAGAAGACGGAGAAGTAAAGAGTAGTGTCGACTTAGCCTCTCAAGCCTGATCCACATCTTTAACATCGGAGAGCCTGGGGGACAATAAACATCAGTGTGTGCAGCAGCAATGACTTCTGATTTCCACCGGGTTAGGGGCAGATGGGTCCCTGGGGAGGAGGGGGGACCAAGGAGCCAGGTTTCCAGCTCTATACCCTTTGCCCTACTTAGCCCCAAAGGATTATGTTAACATTCCCTTCAACAACTGCTTCCAAGAACAGGGCTAAGGAATATATTTGCAGATGCGAGGTGAACTAGATGCAGAGGCAAAGGCGTTTACTACCCGCATGCACACGTTACTGGTATCCATCCCTTGAACTTCTGAGGGGAGTAGCAACTCCTGATTTGACAGATTGTGATCTAGATACCCCAACTAGACCCCGCACCCTCCTGCTCTGTTGTAATGCAGGTTTTGCTGGGGAACAGTAGAAACCAACTTGGGTTGAGCCTACTAGGCTACTCCTGACCCACTAGCCTGACTCCTGTCATGAGTTTGTTCTCCAGCCAAGGTGAAGGGAGAATCCATTTGCAGCACCCACCGGCTCCCCTCATCATGGTCCACTTGCTCAGAAGATCATATAGACAGCCAAGGGTAGCACAGGGAGGTGGCCAGAATGGATGCCACCCCCACCCCCCCAGACTCTGAGCAGGAGTTCCAGTACATTGAAGGAAAAGCAATGAAATCAGAACTGAGTTTATGTGGTTTTGATTTTTAAATTTTGATGTGATAATAGATTCACAAGGAAATGCAAAAACAGTACAGACAGAGCCATGTTTCCACCCAGTTTCCAATGGTTCTATCCTACAAAACTCAGGTGTGGTTTTAAACTTTCTGTGACTCCAACTACCCACCTCACCCCTGCCTTGTTAGTGGGGCTCCTGGAGTTGGGGGGTGTGGCAGGAGGAACCGTAGGAAAGGAGAAAAAGGAATGGGTCAGAGAAGCTAACTTGACATCCCAGAGGCTCAAAGTGAGAAGGATCAAAGGTCAGAGAGTAGAGGAAGGCTGGGGTGTCTGGGAGACACTGCCCCGGGGTCCAGAGAGCAGGAGGGCAATCAGGACCGCTGGCATGAAGAGAAAATCAATGCTTTCATAGAAAGGAACAGACTGGGAGCTGAAAGGGAGGCAAGGCTAAAATTAGCAGAAAGGTGTCAGGGAGGCTCTTCTGGCCAGGGACACCCACCCTGTGGGTGAGTGAGTGGAAGGAGTGGTAAGGGAAATTGGGAAAGCCTGGACAGGAAGGACTGGTGGGGGTGGGGGGCTGAGACACAGAGCAGGGTGCCTGTTGCCATGGTGTGAGCTGAGGCTCTGGGCCTCCATCCAGTATTCAAAATCTGGCCCAGTCGACGGACAGTCACTGCCAACTGGACACAGTCAGCTTCTTGGGTGGGTGAGACTGTCTGTGGGACGGGGGGGGTGGAGGAAGGGGAGGTAAACAAGTTGGAAAGAGCCTAGAAGACAGTAAGACTCTGCATGGTGACCAACGTTCTGGATATTTCTCTTACCTTCCTGGTCTCCTGGGAAGGGATCCTGCCTGTCTTTGAAGTAAGGGAGGAAGCCTTGAGCCAGGAGTCATAATTTTAGGGGTGGAACAGGCTAGTGTGTAGTAGCAGTGGGGAATGGTTTAGATGCTAACCTTTCCTAAAAGGTACCAAAGATACCTATGGGTTTGGCCTCATACTTTGCAGAGCAGAGCAGGCAAAGCCTCTGGTTAGATAGGGAGGTATTGTAGTTGCAGCTGGTAGGCTGCTCTTTGAAGGCTACAGTACAGGTAGTGACTGGAAAGGATTCCCGGGTGAATGTACAAAATTCATTGTAACTCTCACAGAAGTTGTCACTGTGCCTGCACAATCCTTTGATGACTTTCCAGGGCGCATGTATCCAATAATGAACCTTTGGACAAAACCAGCTTTGCTTTTTACCCCGTACATAGGACATCAGAATATTACAGTAGCTGTGGAATTCCTCTATATTTTTCACTCTGGGATAGTCAATGTTTAAGTCCCGGAAGGTGTTGACAGGATTCCGCTCATGGCTGCCCACGATCACAGCTGGCTCTAGAAGAAACTGGAGGGACAGGATCCAGACCACCACCGGTGTCATTACTCCTGCTGATAGAGTACAGATGTTTGGAGACAGAGGTGAACCTCCGGAAGCTTCCAGTGTCCACTCAGCCTTCCCTGTGTGTCTTCCCCCACACTGTAAACGCTGAACTGTCTCTCTCTCAGAGAGCATCCAGGCCTAGTTCTCATGTCCAGAGAGAAAACATACTTCCAAAGTCTCCTAACCAAGCCTCCCATTCCCCTGCTCCACCATGGGGGTCTCAGCTTCACACAGCCACAAGCTGCAACATTTACAGATAGGAGCTGCCTACTCTTTAGCTAAGAAACTCTTCCCAAATTACCATGGTCCACCCTTCTCATAAAAATACAGAGGAACAGGGCCCTACCTGGTGGCACCATGGTTTAAGGCACAGCACTAAGAAGCTTAAGCCACTTCAGCATGAGTTCAATCCCCTCCCCAGAGGTGACCCACACGGCGTGGCAGACCTCTCCTGATCTGCCCGCTGCTCACCTCAGCAGTGTACTTCATTGATCTGCCTATTCTGCTCCCCACTCTGTCTCTGGTGAATCCTCTCACCGCCCCTGCACCTCTGGCCTGTACCCCAGCTCTGTACATATAAATAAATAAATCTTTAAAAAAAAAAATACAGAGGAATAGAAGGAACCTGCAGAGCTCCAGCTCCAGAGGAAGCAGAGGGAGCTGGAAGATGAACTGGCATGGACAGGGATTCTTACCTGAGAACAAGGACAGCTCAAAGGTAGAGTGGTTTCCAAACAAAGACCAGTCTGGGAGAATGGAGCCTCCCCTGATTCTGTGGGGGCCCTATGCTGAGGAGACTAGATGGGCGGGTGAAAACAGACAACTGCTACCTGGTCTCCTCCCCGCTAGTGTCTTCAGAACGCTTAGTTTCAACCTCCTTGCCAGAAGACCAGGAGTTCCTGGACTCTCTTTGAAGTTTTCTCTGGTCCGCAGGCCCTGCTCCCACAGAGATATGAGTGGAAAGCGCTGTATGTGGTGTTCTGAGGAACACAGTGCAGTTTCTTCCTGACCCCCAGGGAACAGTGTCTGCCACATTGTCATCCCACTCTCAGGCCCCCAGGGAGCCACCTACTCCAGGGCCTTCCACAGGATACTTCCACAGGATACTTCAGCTTAAGAGTCCAGTTTGTACTTCAGTTTTAGATTCAAGTTTACGGGGGCTGTGAGACACCCAAGAATGAACTCCCTCAGGGCCCTCCAGTACCAACTTCATTCCAATACCTGTCACACTGCCCCTCACCTCTGACCTCAGTCCCTGACACACAGATCCTGCAGACCCATGGATGTTGACCCTGAAGCCTCAGGCTTGCAGGTGGGATAGACAGAACTGCCTGGGCCTCAGGAGGTGTTTTTTGTTTTTGTTTTTGTTTTTTTTTTAAAGATTTATTTATTTATGCATATAGAACTGGGGTATAAGCCAGTGGTGCAGGGGTGGTGAGAGGATTCACCAGAGACAGAGTGGGGAGCAGAACAGGCAGATTGACAAAGTACACTGCTGAGGGGAGCAGCGGGCAGGTCAGGCGAGGTCTGCCGCGCCATGTGGGTCACCTCCCTGGCCGGGAATGGAACTCCTGCTGCAATTGCTTCAGAGAGAGCTTCATAGTGTGGTGTTTTAACCTGTTCTGCCACCAGGGAGAGCCCAATAAATCTTTTTTTTAAAAGAATGTTTTAAAATGACCATGACTTCTGGGTAAAACAAATTAAGAATTGGGCCTGTCTCTGGGACCTACAGACTATAATGTCCCAAGCCATTGTCAGCTTTAATTTCTTCATCTGTTAATGAGGATGATACTTTAGACCTCACAACAGTATTGGGTTCACTAAGTTATATACCCAGTGTTTTTCTGACAAGCTTATCTAAAGCTTTTCCTGACCCCACCCCTTCCATATCGATTACTCCCCTGCTCAGATTCTCCCTTCTCCTGGACAGTCACTCTCCAGCTCCAGTAAGGTTCTCCACCGCTGGACATTGGCCTTCCATCACCTGCCTTCTCCTCACCGCCAGGCCTTCACCTTCAGCGCTGTCTGCTTCCCCCTCTGTGTCCCAGCCACCTCCAGGCCCTTGCTCAGGCTGCATCCTCTTCCTGGAATGCAGCTCCACTCCTCCCTCCCACTCTCACCCCCATCAACTTCCCTCAGCTAACTCATAGGAGTCTCAGCCAGGGCTCCTGTCTCGGAAGCCTCTATTTGGAAAACCTCCCTACGGAAGTGTGCACAGCCAAGCAAGTGAGGGGAAGGCCCACACAAACAGGTGGCTCAGGCGCATTTTCCCTGCTACTCTACAAGGCAACATGGAGTGGGAGTTCAGGGCGGTGCCAGACCCTGCAGAGCAGCTAACTCAAGTTTTTGTTTTGAGAAAGCTTGCCACTTTGTGGTCCCACCTCAATCTAGCCACTTCTTCCCTATTCACTGAAGACTGAAACAAGATGGTCAGCATGAAAGTAACTTGTAGCCACTAAACCTTCTATAGATTGTTTTCCAGCATCCTAAAAAAAGAAAAGGCTGTTTCATGCCTCTTGGCATTCACTCTTCACTATCCATCACCACCACTCTGCAGACACAGTTATGGAAATGGAAGATAAAGAAGGGTTCAGGACTTCCTGCTGGGTAACTTACTGAGCTTCCTCTTCTTTAAAATGGGGTTAATAGGACCTCCCTGGTGGTGCCAAGGGTTAAATCTCAGCTCTATGAAGCTGTCTGCAACACCAATTCAATCCCTGGCCAGGGAACTGACCCACATGGCACAGCAGACCTCTCCTGTCCCTTCCGCTACTCCCCTCAGCAGTGTATTTCAGTAGATCTGCCTGTTCTGCTCCCCACTCTGTCTCTG